TGAAGCATCCTTTAGTAAACTTCAAGTAATCTCTTCTCCTCTCCTTCCATAAGCAATAGTAGTGATCATTGGATAGTGGTGGCCTAGTGGTGGATTGCTCTTTACAGTTTTCAGGTAGTGCACTCATCTTGATCTATTCCTAAAGTGTTAGCCTCTTCAAGAATAACCTGCTCTGATACCAAATGATATTTTATACTTCAATACCACACAAGAGGAGGGTGATTTATGTGATGTTTATTTTTTGCGTGCACAGATTATAGAAGGATATGGTTCTTCTATGTGTTACTTACACTACAGTTGCGGAATAATAAATGCAGAAAGTAAAGAACACAAGTATATTTACGTGGAAAACACCTAGCTCAAAAGGTAAAAAAAATCGTGACCTACTACTAAATAAAGATTAACTAGAGTTCTATACTCTTCCTTGGTGGAAGAGTTCTATACTCTTCCTTGGTGGAAGAGTTCTAGTTAACTTCAGTGTCTAACTCTTCAAGTAAGGAGTCCTGCTTCTTATCAATTATACAACCTTTTCGTTCAAGGAATATTATATATAACTACTTACGCTTATCCCCTTCACGTGCATGCATTTGCTTGAATCTGCATGTGCCTTGTGTACACTGCCCATGGACCTGGTTCATGCATGTGTTCCTTTGTCAATCATCAAAACCAAAACCACTTAGGTCAATATTGTTCTACTGCTAAGCAAAGTTGGAACACACTGCAAGTGGCCCATGAAGGAACAACGCGGGTGAAGAGATCTAGAGGAACTCTACTGTACTCTCAGTAAAAGAACTTTGCTATGAAGGATGGAGAAACCATTCAGGAGATGTAGACAAGGTTCACTACATTGACAAATGAACTAAAATCTCTTGAAACGATTATCCATGTCACGGCCCAAAATCTAACTAGCCGTGATGGCACATAACCTCACCCGTTAGGTAAGCCAAATAACAACAATCTGATTCAATTAATATTTAACTAACTCCAATATACTCCCCAAGGACTGGTAGTACAAATAATGAGATTCTAAGATTAGAATTTAAAAATCTGGTATGAAATAAAAATATGTCATTTGTCTAAAATATACATGAACAAATTAAAAATTCTAAAGCTACCATGAACAAGAGAAAGCAATGACTGGAACGCAGGTACATCTTCAGATCTAGCAACATCAACATTAACATCAACATCAAAAATCAACATCAACATCACCATGAACAAGAGGAAGCAACCGTCATACGCAGCAACATCAACATAAAAAATCTGCACGCAAGGTGCAGAAGTGTAGTATGAGTACAACCGACCCCATATACTCAATAAGTAACAAACCTAACCTTAGGTTGAAAGTAGTGACGAGCTGGGATAAGGGTCAGAGTCCAACTCCAATAACTAGCAATAGTTCATAACAATATAATTTAAAATAGCACAAGTAATAACTCAATAATAAAATGCTCAGCTCGTATAAAATTTCGGAAAATAAATATTTTCTTTTCAATATAACAGTAAAACTCAAATCCTTTGCCGAAAGTCACCAAAAATATGAGTAAGATAGAAATCTGTGATTTTTCTCAAAACTTTAACGACAAATAAGAAATTTCATTATCATATGGCATGAGTAAAGATACTTCTCTATGCCTACATATCAAGTATGCATATCTAATGCAATACAGCACGGTGATGAACTCATGTACTCACACTCTTAGAGTACTCAATCTCACTATCTCACATTTCCACTCATGACGTTCAATATTCAGCACATTCAGTCACTCGGCACTGTACATGGCAGATCCAGCTCAAATATAAATGACAACTCGCACACAGTCACACAGTACTGTATATGGTCAATCCAGCCCACGAAAGATCCAGATCCAGCTCAAATATAAATGACAACTCGCACACAGTCACACAGTACTGTATATGGTCAATCCAGCCCATGAAAGATCCATCCCAAATATATATACATAATAATTGACATTCAATCACTCAGTATTGTACAGAGCCAATCCAGCCCAGGGAACTCCATCCCAAATATAAAAAAACTAAATAAGGCAACTCCATGCTTTGGGATGTCCATCCCAAACGTAAATAAATAAATAAATAAATAAGGCAACTTCATGTCTTGGGAAGTCCATCCCAAACATAAATAAATAAGGCAACCTCATGCCCTGGGAAATCCATCCTAAATATAATGTCATATGCGCTCACTGTGGGGGGTGCAGACTCCAGAGGGGCTCCTTCAGCCCAAGCGCTATAATAAGCCATTTAGGCCTGCTGTGACGTGCAGCTCGATCCCATAACAATAAAGCCTATAAGGCCTGCTGCGGCGTGCAGCCCCAATCCATATAATAATAAAGTATATAAAGCCAATATGGCATGCTGCGGCGTGCAACCCGATCCCATAAATATCCTCATAATCAACCTTCGGCATCACTCAGTCACCAATCTCTCTAGTCTCTCGGGCTCACAATGTCTTGAAACTAGCCCAAAATGATCATATGATGAATCAATAAATAGCACAGATATTGAGAGATGATATGAAATGAATGAACATGAATGAGTATGAAATTATAATTTAAACAAATAATTCAACAGCAATACGACCTCTGTGGGTCTCAATAATACCGGCATATAGCCTCAGCATTATTTTAACATGATTCTCAGCTCAATTTCTCTAACACATGAAAGCACATGGAAAATGCCAAGATTATTTGACTACACAATTCCACTAAATCAATTACGTTACAGTTTCTACGATGCACGCCCACATGCCCGTCACCTAGCATGTGCGTCACCCTAAATAAATCATATAACACATATTTTCTGGGTTTATACCCTCAGCTCCAAGTTCAAAAATATTACTTACCTCAAACCGTGCAATCTTTTATTCCAATAAGCATTTTCCTCGCGATTTGGCATCAGAACGCCTCGAATCTAGTCACAAATAATTTGATACAATCAACACGAGATGTAGGAATCAATTGCATATGAAAATGCTAAATTTCACAATAAATCCGAAAAAGTCAACAGTGGGACCCACGTCTCAGAACCTGACAAAAGTTATAAAATATGAACATTCATTCAACCACGAGTCCAACCATATCAAATTTACCAAATTCCGACATCAACTCGACCTTCAAATCCTCATATCTTATTTTCAAATCTCTATACCCAAATTCTCGAATTACACATCAAAAACACGTAATCTAGTCGGAATATTCAATGATAATTCAATATTATTGACTAACAATGATTACAAGTGACTTACCTCAAGATTTCCCGTGAAATTTCTCTGAAAAATTGCCCCATGTCGTGTTCTTTCGCCAAAAAATATTGAAATGAGCTAAAAAAAAACAAAACTGCTCAATAAAACACTAATCGCATCGCTAAAAGTCTATTTCCCGTCATTAAAAGTCTATTGTCCGTCACTAAAGGTCCGTACCAGAACCTGCTTGCACCTGCAATTTATTATTTCACTAAAAAGTCTCTAAGCCTCTAACTCCATTATACGAACTCGGAATTCGACGATTCTTGTTCCTATGAGTTACAAATAATAATACGAACCTAGTCGTTCAATTGAAACTCAATTCAGAGCTCATTTTCTCAATATGATACCAATTTCGCTCATTAAACAATTAACTCTTGTTTCGCGCTAAAAACTCAATCACGACTTGATGAAATTAGACCAAACATTCCAGATCATTCCTATAATTTATTATCAAACTCCCGGAAGTATCAAAATCAAATTTTGATCTTTAGAACTAAAAATGGACCTTTGGCTTATGCTCAAAACACCAAACTCTTTCAAAACTCATCCGAGTCCCATGTGACCCCAACCAAGTATATTAAAAAGTCCCATAACATGACACGAACTTAGTCGATGCCTCAAATTACATTAAACAACACTAAAATACGAATCGCACCCCAATTTAACCTTAATGAAAACTAACGAACTCCAAATTCTACTTTCGATGCCGAAACCTATCAAATCAAGTCTGATTGACCTCAAATTTTGCACACAAGTCATACATGACATAACGGACCTATCAAAATTTTCAGAACTGGATTTCGACCCCAATATCAATAAAGTCAACTCTTGGTCAAACATCCAAACCTTCCATTTTCAACTTTCACCATTTCAAGCCAAAATCAACTATGGACTTCCAAATAAATATTCAGACATACTCCTAAGTCCAAAATTATCATACAGAGCTATTGGAGCCATCAAAACTCGATTCCAGAGTCATTTGCATAAAAGTCAAATTTCAGTCAACTCTATTTATTTAATCTTCTAAAGAAGGATTGTTCTTTCAATTTAATCCTGAATCATTCGAAAATCAAAGCCGACAATTCACACAAGTCATAATACATATTATGAAGCTACTCAAGACTTCAAATTATTGAACGGGGTGTAAATGCTCAAAATGACAAGTCGGGTCGTTACAATCCCTGAAGAAGAAAGAGTTGAGAAGATACTCACTAGACTCTTGCCATTTACTTGGGAAAGTAAGATTACTGCAATTTAGGAATCAAAGAATATTTCTACTCTCCCACTATATGAATTGATTGGAAACCTCACTACTTATAAACTTAGGAGACAACCCATAAAAATGGATGTACCTAAGAAGGAAAGGAGTTTGGCACTCAAAATCAGTGAAGGTTCTGATATGGAAGATGATGAAATGGTAATGATCACCAGAGACTTTAAGAAGTACCTAAGGAGAGGAAAGGGCACTTCAAGAAGTGGAAGTTACAACAAAGCAAGAGCTTCGGAGAAGCAAACCAATAATGGATGCTACAAGTGTGGAAAGACTGATTATACGATCAAAAAATGTCCTCTGTGGGAAATTGAATGAAAGAAAAAAAGAGTTGAACGGAGGAACGGGAAGAAGGAACGGGTTGAACCCAAGAAAGGCAATAACAAAGTATCAACCAAGGCTATGGTCGCTTCTTGGGGAGAAAGCTCAGATGATGACGATGATGATGATGATGAACGAGCACTAATGACCATTGGAGAATTTGATGAAAAAGCTGAGGTAAGTGTCCTTCATCTCAAAGACAAGATCAATTTTTTGTCTAAAGAAAGATTATCTGAGTATTATTGGAACTAATTGATGAATCTGAGGATGTGAATAATGAAAAGGAACAACTGTTAAAAGAATGTGTGATTTTGAAAACTAAGTGCAAAAACCTGGAACTTAGGGCTTGTGAAACTGAAAGAGAAAATGTTATGTTAAAGAACCAGGTTCATGCACTTGATATAAATGTCCTAGAACTTAGATCTAAAAATCTAAAATTGAAATTAGGAACAGGAAAAAAGAGAGATGTTCACACACAACTCACTTTAGAAGAAAATGTAGGTAAAATAAAAGATGAGTTGTATAAGAGGGATGAATTGGTAAGAGTCTTAAAGGAGGATCCGAACAAGGTCAAGCATGAGTTAGACAGAACTTGTAAGTAGAACAGGTCCTCTGATGCACTTTCATGGATACAAGAACATCATAGTAGCAACAGAAGAGGACGCTTTGGAAACTCTGCACCTAAGTGGGATCCCAAAAGCAAGTACCTCACACTCCTTGAGAACAAGATTTGCACACACTTTCGTAACACATGTCACTATAAGAGTAAATGCACTACAAAAGAGAAGGCAAGTCAAAAAAACAAAAAATTGAGCTAAAAAGAATTTGATTCATCATTTTGCCTATAGAAACGGACCCAAACTACTCTCCAAGGTACTTGGTGGTAGGGTTGCCTAACATTAAGTTCAGGAAGATAAAGTTTGTGAGGCTTGTTCAAGGGATAAGCAGGTAAGATCCTCTTTTAAAAGCAAGAAAATGGTAAGCACTACCAGGATGATGGAACTGGTCCATATGGATCTTTGTGGACCAATAAAAATACTGAGCAGAGGTGGTAAGAGATATGTTATGGTGCTTGTTAATGATTACTCTATATTTACTTGGACACTATTTTTAACATCTAAAGATGAAGCATTTGATATGTTCACTTCATTTGTTAGAAAAACTCAGAAACAACTAGGTAATCAACTTGCATCAATTAGGTCTGATCATGGTACCGAATTTAAAAATGATAAATTTGCTGAATTTTGTGATGAGCATGGCATAGATCATAATTTTTCTGCTACTAGAACTCCACAACAAAATGGAGTAGTTGAAAGAATAGGACATTGGAGGAAATAGCTAGGACTATGCTACTTGCTAGTAAATTTCCCCATAGCTTCTGGGCAGAAGCTGTAAACACTGCATGCTATATCATAAATAGGTGCGTGACTAGACCTCTTATTGAGAATACTCCCTATGAGTTACTTAAAGGGAGAAGCCAAATATATCCCACCTTAGGGCATTTGGATGCAAGTGCTTTGTGCACAATAATGGAAAAAAAACTCTCTAGGTAAGTTTGATCCCAGAAGTGATGAGGGAGTATTCTTGGTATATTCTTCACATAGTAAAGCTTATAAGATTTATAACAAAAGAACTATGTGTGTAGAAGAAAGTGTACATGTGATTTTTGATGAAACTAACAATCTTTCTGAGAGGTAGGAACAAGATGATGAAGCAATTGGATTGGTAAGAAACTCAAATGAAACCACAGCCCATACTGAAGCTGCACCAGAGGAAGGAACATGTGATGGAATATGTCCTTCCACCTAGGGCAACCTGGCAAGGGGAACTGAATAGAGAGGAACTGATCCTCAAACCTCGAGGGAACCTGTCCATGAACCTGTTCCTCAGCAATAGAACATTGAAGGAACATCTAGGGTAAACCAACTGGTTATGAAACCTTACAAGTATCAAATTTCTCATCCTATTGGAAACATAATCACTGATCCAACCTCTGGAATCAAAACCCGATTTTTTTAAAAGATCCTCTGTGCTTTTGATGTTTTTTTATATCTTATTGAACCTAAAAATGTTACTGAGGCTTTGCAAGATGTAGAATGGGTGAATGCAATACAAGATGAACTCAACCAATTTGAGAGAAGTCAAGTTTGGCATGTGGTACCAAGACCCAATGACAGATTAGTAATTGGCACATGGGTCTTCATAAACAAACTTGATGAAGATGGAACAGTAAGAAGAAACAATGCAAGATTGGTAGTTAAAGAATATAGTCAAGAGGAGGGCATAGATTATAATGAGACTTTTGCTCCAGTTGCAAGATTAGAAGATATTAGACTCCTTATAGCCTTTGCTGCTTACATGGAATTCACTCTCCATCAGATGGATGTCAAGAGTGCCTTCCTCAATGGCTATCTAAAGGAAGAAGTGTTTGTCAAGCAACCTCCTGGCTTTGAAAGCAAGGAATGTCCTGATCATGTGTACAAGCTTGACAAGGCACTCTATGGTCTCAAGCAGGCTCCAAGAGCATGGTTTGAACGATTGTCTAAATTCTTTCTTGAGCATGGCTACAAGAGAGATAAAATTGACAATACTTTGTTCTTAAAAGAAAAATGTAAGGATCTCTTGGTAGTTTAGATATATATTGATGATATAATCTTTGGAGCAACTAGAGATAGGCTAAGTAAAGAATTTGCTAAGCTAATGGGGAGTGAATTTGAAATGAGTATGATGGGTGAGCTTAATTTCTTTTTAGGCTTACAAATTAAATAAAATTTAAATGGAACTATGATCCATCAGCAGAAGTATGTGAAAGAGTTGCTTCAAAGGTTTAAAATGGAAGACTCCAAAGAAATTGACACTCTTATAGCAACAACCACAAAATTAGATATAGATGAACTTGGTTCATTTGTTGATCAGAAGATGTATAGGGGAATGATTGGCTTTCTGTTATATCTCACTGCTAGTAGACCTGACATTGTTTTCAGTGTAGGCCTTTATGCTAGATTTCAAGCAAATTCAAAGGAGTCTTACTTGACTGTTGTCAAGAGGATCTTGAGATACATAAAAGGCACCTTTGACCTATGTCTATGGTATCCAAAAGGTAGTAATTTCAACTTAGTGGGATATGTTGATGCTGATTATGCAGGTTTTCTTGTGGATAGAAAGAGCACCTCAGGTATGGCACACTTTTTTAGCTCATGTCTTGTGTCTTGGGCCACCAAGAAGCAAAATTATGTGGCCTTGTCTACTGCTGAAACTGAGTATGTGGCTGCTGCCTCATGTTTTGCTAAACTATTATGGGTCAAATAGAAATTAATGAACTTTGAAATTGATGTAGGTTGTATCCTCATATTTTGTGATAATACCAGTGCAATTAGTATGACCAAGAACCCGGTTCATCACAAAAAAACTAAGCGCATAGATGTTAGGCATCACTTTTTGAGGGACAACTATAAAAAGGGTTTGATCACTGTGGAATTTTATGCTATTGACAAGCAAATAGCTGACATCTTCATAAAATTTCTAAGTAGTGATCACTTTAAAAGGAACATGTTAGAATTAGGGATGATTAACACCGCGTAAAAGGAACCAATTCTAACTCAATAATTGGTTAGATAATTTGAAAATTTTGTAAATAATTAGATTAGATGTTGCTGAGTCTCATACTTTCACTAGTATATTCTTGTGTCATGTGCAAAAATGTCTCATTAATCTCTAATGATATTATCTTTATTTTCTTGGAAAATTCAGACTTACACAAGAAAATTCTAAGTGAAGAACCTGGTTCATCAAGATTACATGGTATGTACTCTCCACTCCACATATTTTGAAATAATTGTATATGGATCATGATCAAAAGAAGAGTCCTATTTAATCCCTATTTCCTTCAAGTTTATCTGTTATAAATGAACCAGTTTCACCAAAGAAGAATCTTACACGCCATAATTGTCTAGATTCTAGGGAAGAGTCCAACGTCTTTTCAAACTAACTTTTCCAGTGTGATTAGACTTCTGAACTTCAAAAAGCAATTGTTACCCACTCAAACTCTCCTAAATTGATTAGGCTTAAACTATTTCTTCCGAGGTCATTTCTGAAGTGGCTGGAAATCTGGAGAACAGGTTTGTTCTGGTTAGAACTATTGCTGGGGTAGAGACCACTGAGTTTGAAAGAATTGGTGGTAAAAATAAAAGGAAAAAATAAATAGAAAGTGAGGGTGTTCAAGGTGATGTGAGGGGAAAGGTAAAAGAAGGAGTGGTTGAATCTTCACCTACTCCTATTAATTTGACTGAGGAAACATGCGTGATGGTGTAATGTAGTGAGGAAGTTGTTGAGGAGGAAGAAAGTTGGAGAGAAGAAGGAGGTAGTGGATCTGGTGATGCTAGTGCAATTGATGGGCTGGTTAGGTTGAGGAAGAGGTTCCAAGAACTTGTTCCATCTGTGAAGGAACCCCTCGAAGAGTTATTGAAAAAGGTGTCTGATAGTTACAATCCAAAGAAAAAGAAAAGTTCAGGAGTTAAAATCCCTGGAACTGCTAGGGCACACAAGAAGAGAAAGACTGCCTCTTCTATCCCTGTAGAGACTCCTCCTACAAGAGGAAGCGCTACAAGGAGTCAGAAGAAGTCGAGTGAGGCTGAACTTGAAAGAGCCTTAGAAAAGAGTAAAAGAAAAGCCGATGCAAAGGGAAAGAAGAAAGTAAGTGAGCATGTTGAGGCAATTGAGATTGAGGGGATGGACCTAGTTCTTCATGATGAAGATGGGGCAGAGGAGGTGGAAGTTATGACTCCAAAGGCAAAGAAAAGAAAGACTTCCAAAAAGAAGTCTCCTTCAAAGACTGTTGATGTAAAGCTCTCTACCTTGGCAAAAAGAACCAGGTCTGCCGTGAAATCTAGGAAAGTGCAAGTAGTGAAAGAGGAAGAAAGTGAAGAAGAGGAGGAAGCTGATGAGGAACGGGAAAAAATGGTGAATTTTGGCAAGCGAACAATCTTAAAAGGTAGACTCCTCAAGCATTTGGAGGAGGAAGGAATGGCGATGCTGATAGAGAAGATAGAACTTCAGGGTTGGAAGGACATGGTCCTTCAGGTGGAAGGAAGACTAGAATTCAAAAAGTTCAGAGAATTCTCTCTGCGGCCGCAGAATTAATAAAGAAGCCCAGCAGTACTTGAAGCAGAAGTGCGGATAGCACACGATTTGTGCGGTCGTAGAACATGGTATGCACTGATAAGAATTTAAAAAGTTCAGAGAGTGTGCAATTGATCAAGACTAAAGCCTTGCATAAAGTGCGGACCGCACATGAATTGTGCGACCGCAGAAGCTAAATCGCATCCGTAGACCAAATTATGCGGCTGCAGAATCTAGTCCCCTACAAACTCAAGCAATGTTCGGACCGCATATAGAACTGTACGACTGCAGAACCTATCGAGGAGAATTTTTGTCAGCGAATTTTGGGCCACTATAATTAGATAGGAATCACATTTTTAGGTCAAGTTTTAAAGTTCTAGCAGTTGTAGTCGTTGTAGTTTTCCATTTTAGAAAATTTGTGATCATTTTGGGATAAAAACATCGTAGTTTATCATTTTAATTTTATATTATGGGTTTAATTAGTATTTCATCTTTGTTTTCTCATTTTTTACTATGAGTAGCTAGACTTTTACTAGGGTTGTGACCAACCCTAGTGCGTAAACCTTATGGGTATTTAATTTAATGCTTGTTTATGATTGAGTATTTGTTATTTTGTCTAATTCATGCTTTAATTATAGAATTATTGGTTGCAAACATTGATTCATGCCTTTTTGACTTGGTCTTTACTTGAAAAAGAGGGACCTAGTCTAGAAAAACTTGGCTAATGAGAAATTAGGCTAGTTAAGGATTTGACTAGACCAATTAAAGAGTTTGAACTAGAGCTGGGAAAAAACTGATTTGAGCTCATTTTAACTAGTTAGTTTGATACCCATTTGGACTTGAGAAAGCCAAATTGAAAACAATTACTCTATGACCGAGAGGTATTGAGTGGGTAACTTAGAGTTGGGAGCTATAATATACCCCGATCAATAAAATAAATATTAACGTGCTTAAACCATTAGGCGAACACCTAGGAAAAGGTTACATCACTAGGCCTTTTACCCATTTGGTAAAAACAACAAAAACAATTACTTGCTTCCTAGTTTCTTCTCATTAGTTTACAATTGTTAGTGTTAATTTAGAAGTAGAAAACAAAATCCCTTGTTTGGAAGTGCAATTGAGTTATTTCATTTACTCTCATCAGGTGTACACCCTAACACCCATATTAAACTCCCTATAAAAATCGACCCCGACTCTTGTTAGATACTATTATTCCAACAACCGTTTCCACTAACTATTGAACGCGAATTAGACGTGGATCAAGGGTCACCAACATAGTGAAAGGGGTGACTGTGAGCTTTGACGACAAGGAGTTGGGAGAAATTCTAGGGGTACCTACTGAAAGGTGCAATGACTATAAGAAGCTGAAATGGCCAAGCCTAGAAAACCTCCCCACCTCCCTTGCCATTACAGGAAAATTTGCTGACAATGAGTTAGAGTTATAGCCCAAGGCTGTATACAAAAGTGAGATGAAGCTTGCCCATAAGCTGCTATTTGAATTTGTCAACAAGGTTATTCTACTTAGGCGGGAAAGAAAGCATATTGTAACTTTCATGAACATGGTCCTTATGGAATGCCTGGATAGTGGGAGGTAGATAAATTGGCCGGGGTTTATCATCCAGCTCCTTGATAGGGTAATCACTTACACCAAAACTCATTTCATACCATATGGTTTCATTCTCACTACTAGGCTGACTTACTTCAAGGTTCCCCTAAAGAAATAGGATGTTAGCACAAGTAAAGATTACTTTAGGGCCAACACATTAACTGTTTGTGACTATGAAGTCCATGCTGCTGCCAAAGAACCTGGTTCTTCCAAGCAGGTGCCTGTGAACAGCAAAGTGTGAGCCTTGGTGCAGGAGAGTGAGGCTAAGGACGCTGATATTGAGAGACTGAAGAAGAGGATGGCTGAAGTAGAAAGTGAGAGGAATGCTCTTAGAACTAAGCTTGCTAAGAAAAGGAGAAAAATAAAGGCATTCTTCATGACATGCTAAAGCTGCTTCAGGCCAGAAACCAAGAACGTAGTCCTTCTTAGCCTTGAAACCTTCCTAGCCTAGTTAGAAAAACTAGTGACCCAGATTGGATATATATATTTTTGTCTTTTTGCTCATGATGTAGTACTTTTATTTCCTTTTATGCTTTATGGATGACTCTTATCAATGATAATCAACTGCTTTTACTCTAATTATTTGTTGATGCTTAATAGATGGCTAATATCCTTAAATTGATAAGTTATACTTGACTCCATGATTGCATTTAAAGTAGCCTAAATGGCCATAAGTAAGATCTGCTAAAATCTGGTTATCTAACATAATTATGAAACTTTGCGATGATGCCAAAAGGGGAAAGATAGGTTGTGCTTTTACTTTAGACTGTGATGTTTATAACCTAATGAACCTGGTTCTTGATGATTTGTGACTTTAAAATAGAAAGTGCTCTAACATTGTGTTAATGTTGAAGCTGAGTTGAAACACCTCTCATGCTTATGAAAAGCACTGAGTTTGTCATTATCAAAAGGGGGAATTTGTTAGCCTGAGTAGGTTTGTTTTGATGATTGACAAAGAAACACACGCATGAACTAGGTCCATACATAGTGTACATAAACACGGGCAGATTCAAACGAGGCATACACGTGAAGGAGATAAGCATAAGTAGTTATATCAGATATCTCCTGAACGAAAATTGATAAGGAACACGACTCCTTACTTAAAGAGAACTCTATCCAAGATAAGGGAAGAGTTAGAAGTTGAAGATAACTAGAACTTTTCCACCAAGGAAGAGTAAAGCATTAGAACTCTAGTTATTTTCTATTCTACTAACTCTATATATATCAGTTCGTTCTCTTTTACAGTTGACGCACAAACGTTGAAGTTAAGCAAGAATTGAGAGCAAAATAGCAAGGCATTTTGCAAGCAATTTCTGCATGATTCAAATGTGCGAACCTGAAGCTACATGAACCAGATAGAAGAATCAGTTCCAAGTGTCTGTCTTTTATTCTAGTTCAATTATAGTAGGGCTTTTGAGTTATACCTTTCAGCTCTATCTAAAAGCATCTGTACTAGGTACTTTGAGTTGCAGTATTCAAATCAGAATTAACTTGAAGATTGTCGCAACAACTTGAGACTGGCTGCCACAAAGGGTTAGAGGTAATACTTAGGCTTTCAAGAGTTTTGTAAACACTGTTTTGGCTCAGTGATTTAGTGAAGTGTTGGAAAAAATTCTACTGGGTAGTAGGTCGTGGTTTTTTCCACCTTTTGAGCCGGGTATTTTTCGCGTAAAAATACTTGTGTTCTTTACTTTCTGCATTTATTATTCCGCAACTGTAGTGTAAGGAACGCATAGAAGAACCAGATTCTTCTATAATCTATGCATGCAAAAAAATTGGACACCACACAAATCACCCCTATTGTGTGGTATTGAAGTATAAAATATCACGTAGTCTCTTAGGTTTAGTTGCCATTCGAATTACATGATAGATTGTCTAACAATGAAGTGTTTCCAACTTAATTCTATGCCATTTTTCAGTATTTCATGGAAAATGATCAGATTTTTTAGGAATACTCCTAATATAGTGTCTTGATGTATTTGATTTGAGCCACCTAATTTGCTAATAACTATGTGCATAACGTGTATATCATGGTAAGACTCTATAATCATGGAAATGATGCCTATAAATTTGTCAAATTTACGTGAAATAATTTAGAAAAAATGCAGACTTTAGCTGTATACAAATATGGTTCCTGTCGCATGCACAAATAGCTTTTTACAGCTATGTTTCTAGCTTTTTATCTTGAAAATGACTGATCTTCAGACACATTATTATATTACATAAGGTACAAATAATCAACTTCCTTAAAACTTCAGATTTTACTATATTCTTCCCTGTATTCGTTGTGAGTGTTAGAATTTTACATTAAAAGATTTGAAAAACTGTTCATATGAGAAAAATTAGTATTACGCAGTAATTGATGTTTTTACATCAAATAAATGAATGCAACACGTATATTTTGAAAACAAAATTGATATGTATTCTCATATAATTTGTGACTCTTACAATTACTTCTTTATTATTTTGAGTAACAATTTATTTTTTGCGGAAATCACTTGCCCTAATTTAGATTTACGCCGCCATTTAAGATGGAATCACTCCCTATTAGGAGAGGAATAATATTGACAACAGTATTTTCGACGCATAACATAAATTTATGAGTAAATATCAATAATAACAATAAATAATAGATATGAACTCATAACTTTAAAATTATAATAGGTTCAATACCAAAAATTTTAAAGGTGAAACACATAAAGTTTAAATTTTGGATATGCAGCCTCTTAAACTTGCAGTAAATTTCATTTAAGATGTGAAATAAAGCATGATCCAATGTCATAAAACACGAATTTCAGAATATTTATTTTCACTCTAAATAAATATATTTTTCAAAATTGGATGTTTAATTAATTTGAAACCTAACATACCACCAACGTCGAGAAAATAGGGGGAAAGAGGAGTAAACATAGGCAAAAATTGCGGGAGTGACAGCTGTGGATGGCAGACAAATAGTAGACGCCGTTAAGGTTGGGACAATGGTTTGGTTTTAACATGTCGTCGTAGTCAGACATCATCGGATCCTGCCCCTTTACCCCACAAGCCTTACCAATTGGTGCTAATTTGAAGACCATTGGAACCAATCGAACAGTGCCGTATCGATTCGATTTTTAAGTTTTTTAAATAAAATTATAGATTTTTATATAAATTTATAATCGTATCGATAATTAGGGATAAGTTTTTATTTTATAAAAATAAACCGAAAAAATACTGAACCGTACCGAATAAATTTACATGTGAAAAATATGTTTATATATTAAGTTTAAAAATAATAAACCATTAAATTTTCCTTGGGTCTTTGAATTATGAAAACAGTTACAAGCCAAAAAGTTATAAACTCAAAATCATAATTCCCAAACCTATTATGCTACTCTAATTAAAACTAAACTATTTCTCACATATTCGCTAGCAAGAC